CAAAAAAAGGAACTAGGCTGAAAATGATCATATGGCAACTTTTGGTGCCAAAACCGAAATATATATTTCTTTCCTTGTTTTAAAAGCTGTAATCCGTTTATTTTTTAAAAATTCTTGTTCTCATAGACTCAGATAACCCCAAGAATGATTTTACTGTGCCTGAGTGCTGGTGTGGCCTACAGCTTGACCTCAACACATGACGTTGTGGCCCTGTACCAGTTGACCAATGCCATCTTGGTGCACCACACAAACACAGCTCTGACAGCCGTGCCCAGCATCATCTGTGTTGTAAATAATATCCTTTGACTAGTTGGTTAGACTGTGGGGCTATCTTTATAGTATGTGCACATGCAAAGTTTCACCATAGCAGACTATAGCAGATTTAGAAAAAACACCAATTTAAAAAAAAAAAGAAGAGGAATTTATAAAAAAAAAATGATACCAAACTCCAATGTTGTCCAAGATTTAAAAAAACAAAACAGGATAGTAAAATGGAATATTATTATTGCTCTCAGCAAAACTTAAGAAATGGCTTTGTAACGAGTCAAAGAAAACGTTTTTAGGCAGATGGCTCAGCTTTGGTTAAAATAGTTATGTTTTTTAAATTAGTTTAATTTTTTTTTTTTATGTTGACAAATTGTTGATATTTTTATGATGGTTAATTGGCCTCTGAGTATGCAGTGATTGATTAAGACCCCCCCTCCCACACACCTCTTTGCACTCTGACTCATCGCCAAGTGCACAAGTGTTTTGAGGATGAAGTCTCAGGGTTAGACCACTAATGATCAAGGTCACCTGTTAATCATTCTTCTTCTTCTTCTTCTATATCTTAAGGGCCCACGATCAATTTATTGATCATTTTGGCTCCTATGCATGTAGATGGGATTGGCAATGTTTCTGTTACTGGTGGTGATGAGGAAATTATGCACTAGGGGTTTGAAGGCTTGAGGCAATAGACACAAATGTGTCTAGTGTTGTCGCCTCAACTGTTCCTTTTGAAAGATGGTTCCAGTCCCTGATTGTCTTGGGCATCATCTGTGTTGTATATTTTGGCTTTCAAGATGCTTCATGACAGTGCTTACTATTATGTGCTCCTACAGTTTGCAGACGACGCTAGTGAGGGATATCGGACGATAGTTGGCAGGGTCGGAATGCTCCCCTTTCTTGTAAATTGGAGTGACATGCGCTGTTCTCCAGTCTGCTGGAACATTTCCTGTGCATAGTGACGATTGGAAGAGGATTGTCAGTGCAGGAGCGATTTCTTTGGCTAATTCTTTGAGCACTCGTGGTTTAATGTTGTCAGGACCACATGCTTTGTAAGGGTTAATGGTATTGAGGAGGGCAAACACACCTTGTTCTGATATCTGGATATCT